AGCTCTAAAATTATTTAATTCTTTAGAAAGGTGAACACTAGGAAGACTTAGGAATGTCATCACTATGCCTTCCCACCCGAGTGTTTTGTTTACAATATAATACAACTTTGATCAACACTTAACCCGAGTTTTTCTATGCTTCTGATTGGTTTTAAAGCTCTGAAATAGGAAATTTTCTTTCTTTTATTCCAGGAATATAAACCTAGGAACTTGTCACACAGTGCGATAGGGGAAGGCCAGGTTTCTCTGTCCCACCCCCCTCTTTTTATTGGTTGTAGTGTCAGCCTATTATGGAATTTTTGGTATTCAAGGGAAGACATAGTAGGACATCTAGAATCAAAAGTCAAGGAAAAATGCAGTGTAACTCTCTTAATCAACTATCGTATCTAAATTCTCTAATTTCATTCTCTACACAGTTTTGGGGGGCCCAGATACAAACATTTCCCCGTCTACTCAAGGATAGTAAAGTTACCTCCGTAGGGAGAAATCGGGAGTAAGAACAATATCCCAAATAAGCCAGCACCAGAACCCCCTTGGGACTCTCCAGCTCTGGCGCACTCTTCTCCTCTCAGACCCTAAAAGGACAGGTGGGATGTGAATGGTTTGCCAGTCCCAACTCCGGGGCTGAACATGTAATTTTAAAGAATGGCACGATAGAAAAGTAACTCTGCTTTATTTTCTTCCAAGAAAATAAGTAGTTTAGTCAATGGAAGACATTTCTGGGACATTTCCCTAAGCAGGACAAGAGATCTAAATTTGGAATTTTCTCAGCTTCTTCCAGAATGTCAGGTCATTCTGGTTTGAAATACTGAGGCTGCTGGTCTGCTACACTAGGAATTACACAACTCCTCCCGCTACTCTCGAATGAGGAAAGATGGAGTAGTTTAAAAGTGGCAGAGCAGATGCAGTGGAAGCTCTGGTGGAATAAGCAGAGGAATAAGCAGATGTAGTGGAAAGCAGACTGGAGTGCAAGCACCATTTCTGATACCTACTCGATGAGTGGCTTTGAAAAACTCACAATCTGTTTTGTCATCTGCAAGAGGGGGCCAGGAAATTGTGTAACCAAGAACTGGGGAGTAAACTGGAGACCATGAGATACATGCAGGAAATAAACTCAAAGGGGGTGTAATATACCTTATAAGGTACTATATAAATTTATTATCCTGTCAGCGTATTTATTCTTTTGTTTCATTTTGGGCAAATTTGGACATATTCAAAATGACAGTTGTGTGAGATTTTTTGGGGGGAGGGAAGTGATACAGGTGGTAAATGTGTCAATTTGTGCCAAATAATCCAACATATCTTGTTGATTTCTTGGTTCTTGAAGTCTGAAGGCAAAGGGAGATGGCCGGGGAGGGAAGGAGAGAGAGAGAAAAAAAAAAACAAACCATAAAGTTTACAGTGAGACAGAAAGACAAAAATGGAGACACGGAAAGACAAAGAAAGAGGAGACATAAGAAGATTGAGTCAGGCAGTGGAGGACACAGGAGGAGGAGGGAAGGAGAAAAAAAGGTCACACAGTAAAAGGTAGGAAGAAAGATAAAAGACAATCGGAGAAAGTGAGAGGACTAAAGCAGAAAGATGGAGAAAGACTAGGGAGACAGAGGGAGTGAAAAGAGAGCTGTCAGAGCGTCAGTGAGTGGAGAAAATAGGAGAGAAAGACAGTCAAGAGACAGAAATCATCAAGGAGACAGTCAAAGGAAGTGGAGAGAACCTGAGAGACACACAAAGAAAGAGAAGGGTTACGAGGAGACTCGGTGGGTCATCCACAAGCAATCCTTAAGTGTTTATTGTGTGTCAGACCTGTGCTAAGAGCTGCAGATACAAAGAAAGACAAAAACATGATCCTGGCCCTCAAAGGTTTATTTGAATGGTGGAAACTGCTCGCAAAACCTATGTAAATTTTTAAGATATGCACATTTATCTATGGTTTCTAACTACACAGGATGTTCTATAATATGTGTTTATGTGTATGAGAGAGGAAGAGAGAGAAGAAACAAAGAGAAGAGGGAGAGAGGGAGGAAGAGTGAAAGAGAGAGAGAAGAAAAAGAAGGAGGAGGAAGAGGAGGAGGAGGAAGAAAGAGAGAAGAGGAGAGACAGAATCTGACAGGAGACAAAAAGAGAGAGGAGAGAAAAAAGGGGGAGAAGAGAGACAAAAGAGAGACAGAAGCGGAGAGAAGAGACAGAAGGGAGAAGAGGAAGAGAGGGAGAGTGAGAAGTGGAGGAGAGAGAGAGAATCAGAGAGAGAGAGACAGGAAGGAGCAGGAGCAGGAGAAGGAGGAGAGGAGGGGAGGAAAGGAGAGAGAGAAACGAGGAGAGCTGGGCAGCGCGCCTCTCCCCGGCCAGGAGACTGAGGCCCCAGAGGGGCCCCCTCTTGGAAGAGCTGTTGGGACTCCTTGGCTCAAGCCCCCTCTCCAGGAGGCACAAAGGCGCTGGGGGCGGGCTGGGAGCACAAAGCCGGGGGTTACTGCAGGGCACTTCCTCCACCCTCCTGCCAGTCTTGTACGCCAGAGCTAAGTGCTGCCAAGCCGCCCCCGCGCTCCCAAGCCCCGGTCACCGCGGGGCCGAAGTCATCGCCCAGCCACCCCGACCTCAGCCCCTTCCTCTCCCCCACCCCGCCAGCCTTCCAACGGTCACGTGGTCTCGCATAGGTTTTAGACCTCGGCCGGGGCCGACTTGGCCACGCGCCCGTTGCCAGGGACGCCGGACGACAAGTTGGCCTCAGCGGGTGAGAAAGGACACTGGGAAAAGCGAAGGCGGGGGAGGGTGAAGAGGCAGGAAAGCGCCTTCTGACTGGCTAGGGGCGAGGGGGCTCATTAGCATAACCACCCGCGACTGATTCGTGTTGATTGGCTGAGGCCAGAGGAGAGGCTGTGGGGTGATTCCGCAGGCCAGGACCCGGGGCTGGGATTAGATGGTTGGCCCGAGATCTTTTTTGCATTGTTGCCGCTGGGGTCGGGAGCGAGGGAGGGGTAGCGTGAGGGTGTAATCCGGTGCCTCCAAGGCGAGGATTTTTGCCGGTGCTGGAAGCGTTTTTATCTTTCTGCATTAAAGGAAGGCGTAGATGGGCCAGGAAATCAAGTAACCAAGAAATGGGGAGTAAACTGGAGACCATGAGATACATGCAGGAAGTAAACTCAAAATTAGGGTCAAGGTCCCGAGAAGGGGCTGTTAAACTTAACTTTTAATATTTGGCTGTGGGGGTGGGATCCTTTTGGCAAGACAGTGTGAGTTGTACTTTTTATAAAGATCCATTGCTTTGGGAGGACGAGGTAGGAATAAATCTAAGGATTTAAAGATGTAAAACATTTAGTATACGTAAAGATACCTTTAAATGTTAAATGATTTCGAACCATATTAATATAGCAGGAAATCCTTAATTTGGGATACGATATGGTAGTGCAAATATATTTTAAGACAATCAGGACCTGAGGTGGTGTGTGAAGAACCTTGGACTGGGGTCAGGGCCTATAGGTTCAACTCTGCTACCGGGCAGCCTTTGGGGGTGTGGACCAGTCACAACTTTATTTCTAAGCCTCATTTTCCTCAGAGGTAGCAAAGGGGAGCAAAAATAAACTAGATTAGAAGATATCTTGAGGACCCTTCCAGATCTAAATCTCTTACTTTTTAGTGGGGCGGATTTGCAGTTTGAAATAGAAAGTAAGAGGTTTAACAAGTCCTAGGTATGCAAAGTCCTCTGCGCAAGTAGCGTGGGCCAGTGGAGGTTTTTAATTAAGAAAGGGATGAAGAAAAACGCTGTCACAGAATCGCTCTCTATTTTATAAAAGGTTTTAAATTATCACAGAAGTAGTCCCACACTGGAGTGGGAGGTGTTTTTAAAATCCTGATACTTTTAACATTTTGAGAATTTCCGTTTCACTGTTTTTTTATGTTCCCTAACCTGTTTTAATGGTCTTGCACCTTCCCACAGTCCCACCCTACAGATCCCCATCCCGACCCCCCTCCAAAGGACACACATTACCTATGCTAATTTGGTTCTCTAGCTCTGGCCGGAAAAAAAGGAATGAATTTGGACCACAGGCTAACTCTATAAACGTTTCTGAGTGGAGGGAGAGTTCAAGTCTCTGGTCCGAGTTATAAAAATACCGTCCAAACCGGCTGTCAAACAGTGGAGACGCAGCTGTTGCTGAAGAAGGTTTGGAAAGACCCTCTCACTGGGAAGTATTTGGAAAGATGGAATGACTGTGCTTGTGGGGGAAGGGATGTAGACGGGAAAATGGGAGAAGAATCACGACCAAGGAGGTTGCAGGAGCATGTGGAGTTGGAGTGGCCTCCCACGTGGACTGGGCATGCCCAGGGTCGTTCTGCTCCTTACATAAGAATCCCGAGATGGAAGCCACTGAAGAGCTCCAAGCCTATCAGTTCCTACCATCAGCTAATAATAAGTTGGAGGGTGGAGGTGGGGGTGGACGGAGAGGGCGTCTCAGGACGACTAGAGCCCAAAGCCTTACTCTGTTCTCCGGACGGGTCTGCTCTTTTCCGACCAGAACAGACAAATGCTTGTGGAGAAGGGCGGACAGGCCAATGTCTGAGGGGTAGGACTGTAAAGTAGAGCCAGAAGCACATGCATTCTTTCCCCTGACCCCCGGCCTTGCAATTCACTCCCACGGCTGCCACCAGCCGATGCGCACACCAGGCGACTTCCTACTTCCCATTAAATTGGGAGTTTGTCTTTAAGTCATCTTAACATCTTCCTTCTCCTCCCCAACCCGGCAACCTAGGACTCCTACTTCTATCAGCCCCCTCCCTCCCCTCCCCTCCCCTCCCCTCCCCTCCCCTCCCCTCCTTTTTCTTTCTCTCGGTCCCAGCCAGCCAACTCTCCTACTTCCCGCCCCAAACCGGGCGGGGGCCCGCAGTGCCGGCTTTCCGCTCCTTCCCCTCCCCACTCTGCCCCGAGTCAGGCGAGAGGCGGAGCCCGGGTTCCCAGCTCAGCTCGACTCTGCCCTGCCCTGCCCGACCCCGCCCACCCCCGGGTGTAGAAAGAGCCCGTAGAGTGTTACTCGCGGTCACCAGGACTTGGGCATTTCATTTCTCCGGGTTGCCAAAGAAGGAGGGAGGAAGAGAGGCGTGAGGGGTGGCCCCTGTGCGGTAACACCTTTCCCCAGCTATAAAAGCGGCACCTGGCATGGGGAGGGGGTCAGTGCCACTACCAACACCAGCTGCTCTCCGGCCACTGACCGCACGAGTCATCAGATAAGAGCTGGGGCACTGAGTCCGGCCGAAATCCGCGGACGGAGGAAAAGACAACCGGTGGGTGCAAGCCATCCTACCCTCTCCCTCATTCCAGTGCATGCACGTGAGTGCCTTTATTCCCCGCAGCAGGAGTTTAGTTTTTTCCTCCTTTGGGGAACGGAGGGGAGACTGCTTCTCTTTCCGTCTCCTGGGATGAAGGGAGGGCAGAGGGAGTGCTGGGGCCCAGCACCCCAGGGAACCCAGTGATTTCCGTCAGTTAGCAACAGATGCAGTGGGGGAGCTAATTGGGTTGGGAGGAGGAGGAGAGGGGGAGGGGAGGGGAGGTGCATGTTGGGGAGGAGGCTACCAAGGGCACCCTCGCCCGGATGAGTAATCGCCATCTCCTTTGCCCTCCTAATCTAGCCGGTACAGCCAGCCGACTACCTGCTGCTGCTTCTGCCGCCTTTGCCACCGCCCGCCTCCGCAACTGCAGCGAGCTCCCAGGCTCCTTGTGGCCCAAGAGGAACCACCCATCCTGCGGAGGCTCCAGCGTACTAGGGAAGAAAGAGTTGTAGGACAAGGCCTGTTATAAAGCTGAAGCCGAAGATTTTCCCATCGGCTCTCCCTAGCTAGCTGACTCAGCTCCGGTGTGTGCGCTTGGGTCATTGTGTGCGCGCACACGCGCTTTCGGGAGCATCCTCGCACCTCAAAGGCCAGGCCAGGCTCCCGAGCCGACCCCAGCCTTGCACTCCCTCCTCTCTGCCCAGCCTGCTCTCCTTCCCTTTCTTCGCATTTCCCGCCTGACCACCATGATGCAGATCTGCGACACCTACAACCAGAAGCACTCCCTCTTCAACGCCATGAACCGCTTCATCGGGGCGGTGAATAACATGGACCAGACTGTGATGGTTCCCAGCCTCCTTCGGGACGTGCCATTGCTGGAGCAGGAGCTGGATGCGGGGGTCGGGGTGGTGGTCGGAGGCAGCGGCGGCTGCCTGGAGGAGAGAGATCCCCAGCTGGGAGACGGGGGTCCCCCCAGCCCCGGCAGTGCGACTGGAAGCTTCTTCTCGCCCAGCCGGGACATGTACAGCCACTACATGCTGCTCAAGTCCATCCGGAACGACATCGAGTGGGGCGTCCTGCAGCAGACTCCCCAGCAGGGCGACGAGACCCCCACCGGCACTTGGAAACCCAAGGACATTCTTATGGACCTGAGCCTTCTGGAGGATGGAGAAGGGGGGGAGGAAGACCTGGAGAAGCAGTTTCACTATCACCTCCGGGGACTGCACATGGTGCTTTCCAAACTCACCCGGAAAGCCAACATCCTCACTAATAGATACAAGCAGGAGATCGGCTTCGGCAACTGGGGCCACTGAGACCGAGGAAGCGGGCGGGGGAGGGGGCAGACGGTTGTTCTTCCGCGCGCTTCTCTTTCCTCTCCTCCTCCTCTCCTCTCTTCCCTCTTTTCTCTCCTAAATATGATTTCTTCCTGCGCGGTGGGGCGTGTGTAATTGAAGGGCAAGGCTGCAAGGGAAGGGGGGAACGAGCAAGAGACTTGGGGTGGGAGGGATGGAGTTGGGGTGTGGTGTTCTGTGGTTCCCAGGCAGCGATGGAGGGTTGGGGTGTCCTGGGGAAGTTTTTTTTTGGGGGGTGCATAATAGGCCGAGGAGAACATGATAGCAGCAGAAGGCAATACTTCATGGAAGGGATTACTGGAAATGTGCATTTGGCTAGAGTGGTCCTAGGACTGTTTGGATTCGACCTCCTTCATCCTGTTTCTTCCTAGCCATTTATTCCACCATCTCCACTCCCTTCCCCTTTCTGGGGAGCGAAAGGGGTATACGGAGGAAGCCAGGGAACCTGCCTGCAGCAGAGTTATTTTACAATTTAGGGGCTGCACCGAATTAAGCTTAAAGCACTCCAAGGCGTGGCGGCGCTGGCCGCCGCTGCCGGTTGTGGCGGCAGCAGGGCTGCTGGAAGATTGCATCAGTTTTTCCTGTTTTGCACTACTTTTTTTTTTCCTTTTTTGTAACAATAGCCCTGTCTTTTAAGTATTCTGATTCTCGTTTTCTGGTGCTCTGAAACTGCAGCTAATTTGTGACAAAACGCACAAAACAGAGCACCGGTCTATCATTAACCGGTACTATTTTTTAATTAATTTTCTTATGTTAGGGTGTGCAATCTCCATCCCCTTCCCACATTTGTCCTCTGTGCCCTCACCCTAGGACTGTTGTCCATTTCTAAAGCTGGTAACTTTACTAGCTTGTAAGAGGCGAGTCTGCAACTAAGCCGATGAGAATAATAAAAATTGTTGTGATAAAATGGACTTGTTTTCCAAAATGGAACCAACTGACAATTCTATGTTTTGTTTTAAGTAGAAAGATGAAGGGTTCCAGTGTTGTATATGTATACCTTTATTTAAAAACTTTTTTATCCAGATGTAGAATATATTCTAAAAAAAAAAGCAAATGTAATAATCTTGACAAAACTTTTTGTTGACATAAAACCCTTGAATCCCATGAATTACTAGTTTACAATAATAAACTAAATAATTTTAATTGATATTTTTAAAGCAACAATAAATTTTATTTTTTCTCTGGTATCAAAAGGTGCTGACTATTTATCTCTTAAGTGCCCAGTTTTGTTTAGTAAACAGGTATTTCCAGAAATCTACATTCAGGTTTTTGTTTGCCAGATATTTGGAGTTGCGCTATGGTGCTAAGTGTTACAACAAAAAAGAAATATGATAAAAAGAATTTGGTAAAATCCGTGTATTAATTATCAGTAACTAACTGTCTAGGTCATTGACTTGCACCTTCTAAAAGCTTTTAACTGATAGGCCCAGGCATTGATTTCTTGGTCTCTTTTTATAAATGAGGAGGTATATTTTCTATCAGAAAAAGTTGTAAAGAATGCTCATATGTCACTTGATTTAAAGGTATTGAGTTTAAATGGAATTGATATCAGATAACCAGGGCACACATTTTGATAGGGTAATTGCATTTTTAAGGTTGAACTTGAAAGATTTTAATGTGCTTGCTTTTAAGAGATGTGGCCTTTTTCACTAGTAAGTAATATACTCTTTCCCCTCCCTCCCCAAAAAGATTCAGGTTTAGTAAGTTACTAAGAGTTCTCTCACCTTTTCATTTTGGCTGAATCCAGTAGTGAAACAAGATAGGATAAATCAGGCAAGCAGATGCTGTGGGAATGTTTCTTAAATGCCATTTTTCCTGTTCATTATAGAGCTAAGCTGGGGAATTAGGTCCTGCATTTTCCTTAGTTCTGAATTTAGAGGGGGCTGGATAAGTGAACTGCCAGATCGACTATTACAGACCATTAAGTCATAAAACCATTCTTGGTTAACTTTGGCTTACATGTAACTTTTTCATTACCTGGTATGGATACCTTATCGTATGACTTTACTAGTCATTGTCAGGAAAAAGGGGAGGATTTTTTTTAATGGCATGAAAGCAGAAAAAGCCTATGCAGTTATTCAGTAATGATGTCAGAGTAGGCTAGATTGCAAGGTCTGCACCTTCAGCATTTGTGATCAACTTAAAAAAAAACCCCGAAAAGAGCAAAACTGAGAATTATCAAAAAACGGCCCCTGTGAGCATGAATTATATGTATAGATTGGAAGGCAGTGTATGGTAAAGTGGAAACCTTAGGACTTGAGGACTTCAGACCTTAGGACGTGAGTTTAAATCCTGGCTTTTGTGGCCTTGGGCAAGTCATGGTTTCTCCAGGCCCCAGTTTTCTCATCTTTAAAATGAAGGGGTTGTATGAAACTAAATAATGACTTCTAAGGTCCTTCCAGGTCTAAGTCTATGGTCCTATGATCAGAAGAATATCTAATTGGTGTGTCCTTCCAGGTCTAAGTCTATGGTCCTATGATCAGAAGAATATCTAATTGGTGTGTGTGGGGGAGGGGAGGAGTGTTTGGGGACCAAGGTAATCCAGTTTACTTGTTCAGACAACAGAGCAGATGTGAAATAAAATGAGATGGAGTGGTAAGAGCATGGGATAAACTCTAAAGGCTACAGAGTTTGGGTTTTGTGCTTTCAATACCTTTTTTAATCAACCTTTTTTTTGAGGGGAAAATTACATTAAAATGTGTATCAGTCATGGAGAAAATAGACATCACTGTGATAGAAAGTAAGCTTTGATAAAGTGGTATGGCACTGTTAAAAATGTAAACCAAGTTCTGAATGTCATTGGGCATAAGAGCAGAAAGTGCATTAGATTTGTAGTGATATTGAGGTTTTGCTACTTACTACCTTTGTGATTTGGACAAGTCATTCTCTCTGAGCTTTATGTTTCCTCATCTGTGAAAAGAGGGAGCTGGACATTAAAATTGGTGGCATTTATACAGTGCTTTCATATTTGCAAAGTGCTTTACAAATATCTCACTTTATCCTTACAACAGTCCTGGGAAGTAAGTGCTATTATTATCACCCCCATTTTATAGATGTAGAAACTGAGGCAAAGTGGATCACACAGCTAGTTAGTATCTGAGGCTAGACTGAGTTCTAGTATGGGCAGCTAGGTGGCACAGTGGCTACAGAGTGTCAGACCTGGAGTCTGGAAGACTGATGTTCCTGAGTTCAAATGTGGCCTGAAACACTTACTACCCCTGTGACCCTGGACAAGTCAGTTAACCCAGCTGGCCTCAGTTTCTTCATCTATAAAATGACTGGAGAAGAAAATGGCAAACCACTCTTGTATCTTTGCCAAGAAAACCCCAAATGGGTTGTTGAAGAGTTGGACATGACTTGAGGTGGGGAAGCAACAACAAGACCTCATTCCAGGTCTAGTGCTCTCCCCACTGCCAACTTCATACTCCCTTTACTCTCTGTAAGGTCTCTTCCCATGGCCTTCAGATAACTACTCCTTTAAATTAGTAGTAGACTCTACATTATCCTTTTTAAAAATAGTTCTCTGGTTTAGATAAACAAAATTCCACTCAATTGTGAGCCAAGTTTTAAAAAACCGCTTATCTCTTGCAATGGGAGACTTTAAAATTTCTTAAGCAGTTTTAACTTGAGTGTTATTTCTAAAGCTACGAAATAAGTGACTGCATTTCAGAGGGCCTTATCCAGAAGACTCTCCAAGCACTTTACATGCAGTACTTTGTAAATTCAATACACTGTGGTTGAAGCTGCCATGGATCATAGCTCGTATGATGGCAAATGCATCCTGCAGCAGTTTGGAATGCAAAGAGCTTGAGGACTCCAACCAGCAGGGCTAGTTGCTCAGATTAGAACCTGATTAACTCCTGAACTAACATGACTATTTTGATGAAAGAAAAAAAATCTAGATGTACTTCATAATGGAGCACAGCACCTTGTACCTGTAAGCACTGTTTGCTGAATGAACAAAGCTGACCTTGAGTTTTGCCTATAAAAGTAGAAATCGATTTGGGGTTCAGATGAGAATTTAAAATTTTTTACGTCACACATGGTTCTCAGTTCTCCTTTCTAATCCCTAAATTTTTCACGTTACTAGAGATTGTGGGTGTGTTTATTCCCAGCCACTAATATATACTACAAGGGAGCTAGTGTCTAAAGGGCTGGTCCTGGAGTCAGGAGGACCTGATTTTAAATCTGGCCTCAGTCACTTACTAGCTGTATGACCCTGGGCAAATCACTTAACCCTGTCTGCCTTAGTTTCCTCATCTGTAAAATGAGCTGGAGAGGAAACGGCACTTCAGTATCCTTGCCAAGAAAATTCCAAATGGTGTCATGGAGAGTTGAACACTACTGAATGACTCAACAACAATATATGCTACAGAACATTTTTCGATTTTTGCAGTGGAGGTCATTACTTACTAGAGGTACTAGTTAGGTGCCCTGAATTAAGTAATAGCTATGGAATTAAGCAATTTGAATTACAAAGTGATATTTTGTCAGAGGAGGGAGAGGGAAAGGTTGAGAAGCATTCTTTGTTAAGGTTTGCAAAATGCTTGGCACATCTCATTTTATTCTCACAACTCCTGCCTGGGGGTTAGCTACTATTATTATCTTCATTTCACAATGGAGAAAACTGAGACAGAAATCAGTTAAATGATTTGCCCGAAGTCAGGAAGTTAAAGTATCTGAGGCTGGATTTGAACTCTGGTCCTGGGCCAGAGCTCTATCCACTGTGCCACCTGTCTGCCCCTGGAGAAGATCCTTTTCAAAAGATGAATTCAGGGCTTAAATCTGGTAGGATCTCATAGAATCTTACATCTTGTTCTCTTTTTCAGATGGTCATTTTTTAATTAGCATTGTTATGATGCAGAGGTATATCAAGGTAGCTCTACTAAGAGCAAATTAAGGGGCTTGAAGAGGGAGATACACAGAAGATATTCACACTAGGTGTTTTGGGGTGGGGGCACATCCCTTGGAACACATCCTCACCCCATTCTGTGGCTGGGAAGGTAGAGGTGGATCCTGACAGATGGGGTGCCAGATAGGGCCTGATGGAGGCTGGGACAGTTGCTCTGTGTGCCTCCTCAAGGTAAGGCAGGAGATACATGTGTCCACAGGAAGTACAACTCTCATCCCCCTTTCCCTTCATTTTAGTGCCCAGGTGTAAAACTTTGTTTGCTTTACAGTAACTGGCTATGTTTATTAGCACAGATGAAGAAGCAGAGAAATGTGGTCCTAGTTGTAATACTAGGAAAGGAGATCCAATATATAATATAAAATATCTAGGTGGATTATTTGAAAAAAATATGGATTAAGAACTTCCAGATATGTTGAAGTTAAAAAAAAATGATGGAAATCTTTTTTCTCAAAGTATTGAGTCTATTTATAACTCCAAGTAAAAACAAACAATGGGAGTATGAAAAAAATTAACTATCTCATTTCATGTATCTTATTGGAAGATGGAATCATTCCTTTAAATTAATCATCTATATATTTAAATTTTTCAAACATTAACTACTCTGTTAGTGCCTAATGGCTACATTACCCCATTATGTCTTATGAAAAGAAAAAAAAAGTACACAAATCACTTTAAGGCTCTTTCCTGTAAGAAAAGAGAAGTAGGTATTTTGAATATTATCTCCATTTTATAGATGAGAAAACTAAGGCTCTGAGAAATAAAGAGACTTGCTAAATTAGGACTAGTTATTGCAGCAATTTGAGTGTGGGATCTCTGTGGATTCTAAACTCAGTCTTAAAATTAGGACACTGCATAGTTTCTTCTATCCTTGTCAGTCCATGTATTTGGCAACAAAATCTCCAAATGAATGATTATTTTATAGCTCAGCATGTGAACTATGAAAGAGAAAAGGAGAAAAATCTTACTGCAGACTTAACGTGTTCAAAAGAGATTTATTCACGGACAGTCTGCACAACTGACCAATACCTCAGAGGGGCTAGAAATGGGGAGTGGGATACTGCAGTCCTCCAAGTCAGGCTGTATATAGGAGTAATAGTATAGCAGCTTCCAAAGATAGCTTTGGCAGCTAGTTGTTAACAGTGGATAGAGGGCTGGGCCTGGAGTCAGTCAGAAAGATCTAAGTTCATATCTAGCCTCAGACACTTAATAGCTGTGTGACGGTGGGAAAATCACTTAAGCTCTGTCTGCCTCAGTTTCCCCAATGGTAAAAAGGAT